GCGATCCCGTTGCCAGTCCTGGTCCGGTACGGGCGCAACACTGAGGGTTGCGATCTGTTGCCGGTCACGAAATAAAAAAAAAAAAAAGACGATATTGTTAAGTCTCAATATTGTCAATTCTCTCCATATTTATCTATAGTCTTAACATAATCCCAATCAAAATCTCAGCATAATTTTTTTTTTGTAGACTGAAAAACTGATTCTAAAATTTATATGGGAAGGAAGGAGTTAGAATAGCCTGAATAAAAATGAATGAAGTCGAAGATGCCATGATTTTAAAACTTATTTCAAGCTTACTATAAATCTACAGTAATCAAGAAAGAATAGAAACTTTAGCAATCAACTCAATAAATATAAGGGTACTTCAAAAAGTTCACGGAAAAATAGAATTGAAAGATAAAATGAATCTTTCTATGAACTTTTTGAAGATCCCTCATATGGTCAGAAAGTTATAATAATGAAAAATGTGGTACTGACATAAAGAAAGACATATAGGCCAACAGAATAGAGAGCCCAGAAATAAACCCTCGCATACATGTCAAATGATTTTCTGCAAGGATGCCAAGACCATTCAATGGGGAAAAGACAGTCATTTTAACAGATGGTGATAGCAATACTTCTCTACATGCAAAAGAATGAAATTGGAACTTCACCTTATGCTGTGAACAAAAATCGATCAAAGGATTAAATATAAGAGCTAAAACTATAAAACTGTTAGAGAAAAACATACGGGAGAAGCTTCATGAAGTTGTATTTGACAAAGATTTCTTAGGTATGACACCAAAGGCATAGAAGACAAAATTTAAAAACGGACAAATTGGATTGCATCAAAATTTTTAAACTTTGTGCATCTAAGAGCACTATCAACAGAGTGAAAAGGCAAAACACAGAATGGGAGAAGTACTTGCAAATCACATGTCTGAAAAGGGATTAATATCCAGAATATATAAAGAACGCCTACAATTCAACAAAAAAAAACAGCCCAATGAAAAAATGTGCAAAGGACTTGAGCAGATATTTCTATGAAAAGAAGATATACAAATGACCAACAAGCACATGAAAAGATGCTCAACATCTTTAGTCAGTAGGGAAATTCAAATCAAAACCACGATGAGACATGATTATCATTAAAAAACAGGCAAACAGGGCCGGCCCGGTGGCGCACTCGGTTGAGAGCGGCGCTCCCGCCAAGGGTTCGGATCCCATGTAGAGACTGGTCCACTCACTGGCTGAGCGCAGTGCGGCGCGACACCAAGGGTTGCGATCCCATTGCTGGTCGCGGTACGGGCGCGACACTGAGGGTTGCGATCCCGTTACCGGTCACGAAAAAAGACAAAAAGGAAAAAAAACAAAAAACAAACAAAAAAAAACAGGCAAACAAACAAAACCAGAAAACAACTGCTGACGAAAATGTGGAGAAATTGTGACCTTTGAGCATTGCAGGTGGGAATGTAAAATAGTGCAGCCACTGTGGAAAACTGTATGGTAGTTCTTTAAAAAAGTAAACATAGAATTACCATATGATTCAGCAATTCCACTTCTGGGTATATAGCCCCTTGAAAGCAAGGACTTGAACAGTTATTTGTACACCTATGTTCATAAAAGCACATTTGCAATAGCCTAAAGGTGGAAACAATTCAAATCCATCAATGGATGACAGGATCAACAAAATGTGTTATACACATATAATGGGATATTATTAAGCCTTAAAAATGAATGAAATTCTGACACATGCTACAACATGGATGAATCTCAAAGACATTATGCTAACTGAAATAAGCTGGATGGAAAAGGACAAGTATTGTATAATTCTACTTATTTGACCTACTCAAGAGTAGTCAAATACATAGAAATAAACAGCCCCTGGTAGTCACTGTACTACTTTCTGTCAGTAGAAGAATGGGGAGTTACTGTTTAAAGGGTACAGAGTTTCAGTATGGGAGGATGAAAAAGTTCTGGAAATAAGCGGTGATGATGTGAATGTACTTAATGCCATTGAACTATACTTAAAAATGCTTAAAATGGTAAATTTTGTTATGTATATTCACCACAACAAAAACGGGGAAAAAAGAGAACAAATACATTCTAGCCCTCAATGACACTGTGATTATGGTGATACAGTGCTATGGAGTTGTGGCAATTTCCTACCTTCTTTAATTTTACTTTATACGTAAGCAGACAGTTGGGGGAGTCAAGCTCCACTCCACAATGAGTTACAGTTTCTCTTTCTGGTCTGCCAATAGCCCTCTCTGCACGTTTCCCTTCCCCTTCCTTGCCTGCTGCTCTTTCTTAAACTCTTAACTACATAGGATAAGAGTATCAGTAAACAGACAAGTTTGTAATAGACTACTTAAACTCTAAACATTCTCCTCTTTTTAATATGCTAAAATGTTTTTCTTTAATCCTGAATATTTCATTAATTTGATTTAATTATGATTGTCATTAAAAAAAAATCTGTTAATACGGTATGTTCATAGTAATAGGTTTTCTGATGAACCATTCCTTGCATCTCTAGGGTCATCTTTCTTGATCATATTATATACTGCTGAGTTTGACTTGCAATTTTATTTAGGATTCTTTTGTCTATATTCATTTCTGCTTTTCCTGTACAATGTGAGATTTTGTCAGGCTCTGGGATTTTACAAGGGGCAAGTTAGCCTGTACTGTTCTGTGGTTGCTGGCATAGGATATGAGACTTCTGGGTCAAAGGACTTTACTGCTCACAGCACAGCAAATAGCATGAATATCCTTAGCACGTTTCCCTCAATCCCCAAGTCCCACAGGAGCAAGGTGAAAGTTCCCAGATGGGTACTGCATATGCAGTGAGTTTGTGTAGCAGTTGAGGAACACTGGCCTTAGGGAATTCACCATTTTAATACAAGTCTGCTCTTTGTTCCAGAACCTCATATTTCGAGATTGCTCAGACACATGGCCCAGGCAAAGTGGTCAGGTCCTTACATTTTTGACATAACCAGTGAGAATACACAGGGACTCAGGATCCAAGACAGACTGCCTTTCCCAACAAAGTTTTAGTATCAAGATTATGCTAACCTCAATTAACATTTTTTTTTTTTTTTTGCATCTGGCCAATAATGGGGAACTTCCTCTTTTTAATTCCAGAAACTATCCGAATAAACTAGGGATTTATGTGTTTCCTGAAGTTTTGGTAAAACTTAGAACTAATTGGGCCTTGTGTTTCTGCTGGTGGTTGTAGGGGTGGGGGGAAAAGAGAGAATTTTGATGTGATCATTTTAAGTCATTTGTGTTTTTTTCCCCCTTGAGTGAACATTTTGTATTTTCCCAGAAAATTAACCTACATCAAAGTTCCCAAATATATAAGCTGCTTTTATGATTTCTTGAATCTACTTAATTTCTATCTCCTTTTCATTCAAGATATTTGTGTCTTCTCTTTTTCTACAGCTCCTGCATTTTCTGCAATGGAGAGGAAAATCATCTCCATTCTCCTACACAGAGCCATGGAACTTTAAATCTTCACATACCTGCTACAGGTCCAAAATGGAGTGGGAACCATAGTTCCTATTCATCCTATTTTTGTGGACTGGAACATTCTAGCTATTACAAGAACTTCCTCACCTTGTAGTAATATAGCAGGGGCATCAGTGTAGGTCTCTGAGTTTCTGGAGCAGAGTAATCATTAATTCAGCCAAAGGAGATTTTTTATCTCACCCTTGGAGGTACCCCCAATTAAGTGATTCTTGTTACCCATACTCTTCACTTGGTTTGGGGCACAGAAATGCTGATTCCATGGTCTGTCAGTAGGCCCTAGACGTAGGATGGGATATTGTCTACTTGCTTCTCATAGTAGTGAATGCTTATAATTTTAAATTTTTTCTTCATTTTTAAAATTAAAAAAAAAATTTTGGTGTATGTTTGTTTTTTTTTTTTTTTTTGGACA